TTGCCCCTTAAATCCTTCCCCATCTCCGCTATAATGCATTTTTTACGTTATGAATATACACTTTGATTTTCTTAAAAACGTTTTACCTTTACCTACTCTTTATAAACACGTTTAAATTACCTTTTACAAAATGCCGTCTCTAAAAATGTAGAAGTCATTTTTAAAGAGTAGCTGCAAACTGTTCTCTCTAGAGAAACATGCACACACAGTGAGCGATCCATTGGAAATCTATTTTAAAACCCTAATCAGCAAGCCGTTTTTATGTATAAACAATTAAATTACTTGCCAGACAAGTTCCCAATTACTGCCATGGACAAAGTTTGTGATACAGTGACAACAGAACTGGTTCATTCTGGGCGAACTGTGTTCAGATGGGGCCGTGGTGCATGTATGTCCGTGGGATGACACGTTGTCCTGGGTCAGCTGAAACACGTACGCGCGTTTGCTGTCCCACCAACGCCCTCCCCCATCGTGTTCCTGCTGCTGGAACCCCGCTCGCTCTGGGCTGCGTGAAGAGCTAACATTTATTCACACATTTTATAACACTAGTTATCTTTAGGTTAATGTGTTATTGTAGGAAAAGTTGGAACAGCAAATCCCATGTGGTATGTGCTTGTCTGTCTGGGAGAGTAAAAGGCAGCTCAGGACCAAAGCGCATCTGGCCAGAACAGAGCAGTCTGACGCTTTGTCCCGCGGTGCTGGTGACGGCGCGTGACCCGTTTCCCACTGGGGACCGAGATGGATGTGGAGAAACCGGTGAGACCCTCCAGGCTCAGGGGCGCTGGTGGGTGGTGGTTTTTATCTCAAAGCTAGTGGTGCTGGAGGGCTGGCGGTGGCTCGCAAGCCTCCTAACTGGGCCGCCTGTGGTGCATTTTTAAGTTGAGAGTTCTGATGACAGCATTCGTGTTCTTTTTTGGAAAAGAAGTGATGACCCTGTCTTACGTAGCAGTTTTTGCCTGCAGCTGAAAAGAATATCACAAAGATCTGTTGATTGGGCTGTGGACGAAGGAGAGTCAGTTGCTGGGAATCGCTTTCCCACTGTGGCTTTAAAGGTTCGCAGAAAACTTCGTTAGTGGACCCCGGGCGTCAGGAAGGAGCCACTTGGAGCTTTTTCAAGGGGAGCCCATTTTGTTGATGTTGTGATTTCCTTAAGATAGCGGTGTTTGGGGCGTAAATAGTACTGTTGCAGCATTTTTTCCGTTGCTACATTGATCTATTTTCCCCTTGGTAATATCTTTAGGTTCTTTAAAACGGCGTCCCATGCCGCTCTGCCCGGCATTTACAGCAGGGCTTCGTTTTGAAAGATGGGGGTGGGCAGAGAAGTGGAAGACGAGAGAGAGAGGGGCCTGTTTGCGGGTGGCGGGGGCGCTCTTCTCGGCCTTCCCTGAGAAGCCGCCTGGCAACTGCAGGGTCCCGTTGGCCTTGGGGAAAGCTTTTCAGCTGGTTTTGGAGGAAGCCCGAGGAAGAACACTGTATTCTCTGGCGTGTGGGTTCTTGAAGGAAGGTGCCCAGGCCTGGGCTGGGGTCAGGGGCGTGGGGGAAGCAGACCCTTGATGAGTCCAGGCTGTGAGGAGGCACGTGGATTTCTCAGCCAGCCAACATGGCAGCCGCCTGCAGTGTGCAGAGGACTGAGGACCCCCCTGGAAAGAACGAGAAGTGCAGCCGCATCCCCTTGGCCCAGCAGCCTGGCTGCTGGATGCTCCGGTGGCCTGGGACCGCCGGAGCCACTTCCTCCCGTCCCCGCTGTGGTGGCCAAGCTGCGGGCACAGCTGCCTCCCCCCTTTGCAGCTCGCCAGGGCCCGTGGGCTGCAGGGCAGGGCGCCGTCTGGTGTTACATGTGAGGCCCGGACCGGGCAGGTGTTTACTGTGTACGGACGTGTGCAGGGATCTGGGGGGCGCTCTGAGGACAGCCTCGGCAGGGGCTTGCCTGACTCTAGGCTCCTGAGAGATGAGGAGAGGAGCCTGGGCCGTGAGGGTTGCCCCCTGAGACCCACCTGGCTGGTTAACGGGGGACCAGGGCTCCTAACGGTGCATCACTCCGGGCTAGCGCTGGGGTGGAGACCCCCAACCTGCCACACCGCATCCTTGAAGCTGCCCCGCAGCTTGGGAAGCATTTGACTCTCAGGACCCCAGGGGGTGCTGAACACGCAGTAGCAAAGAAGGAGGGGATAAACCGGCCACAGGGCATGCATTGGTGATGATTTGAACAAGTCTTCTCACTTGAAAAATCCACTTTTATTTCCAGGTGCATTTGTGAGTTGCCTCTTGCGATCCTTAACTGATTGAGCACTAGTACTCCGTGAACCTTGTCTTTGCGGCGGGTTTGTGGCTGTTTGATCCCCTAGAATTGGAGAACTGTCTGACTTTAATATTCTTCGTCGACCAACTGAGAGGTCTGGTGGACTTTGTAAAATTATCTCAGAGCTGCCAATTTCCAGTTTTTTTCCTTCATAAGATTATTTCTTTATGATTCTTTAAACTCCTAAGATCTTTATATCCAGATTAGATCATTGAGCTAAATATGAATAGTATGTTTCATTCATACTTTTGTATAGTATTTCACATTCATCCTTTTGAGGGGATGAAATCAATCCTGGGATAGAAGGGGATGCATGCAAATCATTTGCAGTATAACCCATAAGTAATATACAACATACGCAACCATCCAAAACTTGTGCCAAGACCAAAACAGCTTGAAAAGATGATTTAGGTTAGCCTAAATCATCATTAAGAGGTGTTCTTGTTAACCCAATTTGTCCATTTTTATGGGGAGTTTTTATTTATGTACTTTACCGGAGTCGTTGATTTTTGGAGGCTCTCTCTCGGCGGGAGGAACTCTGTGCACCTGTTAGCGTCGAGAGTAAAGATTACCTGTGTGCCCCTCTCCTTTCTGCCTCTTTCCAGACTTGGCTGCTCTCACTGCGTTGGTTTATTTAGGTGCCTGGGAACCCCGCTAGCACGGGGTTTTATCAAAAGATGTTTCAGAATACATAATTTTAAGCAAGATTTCTTCTAAGGGTCTGTGGGAGGAGGTGTTTGGAGAAAGCAGGAGGTGTGTTGTCTGTCCAGAGGGCATCTATCACAATGGCTTCTGCACCCCTGCCTCCAAGCGGAGGACAGGCAATGCCATGCACTCAGAATCGCTCCTGGTGGGCAGGTCCCCCTGCGTTCTTCACTTCCCTGTCCTGTTGTCAGCGCTCTTCTCTGTGTCTGCCCTGGTGAAGTCATGTCAGGATGGACGACCAGAGCAGACAAGGATCGCCGCCCAGGGTCTTTTGGGAGAGAACCTTTCATTTGTGAGCAAAAAATGTGTATTAGTAAGTACATGGGTTCAAAACCAGAAACCTATAGCTTCTTCATGTTTTGTAAATTTTATAATACGGGTTCTTAGTGTGTATGAAGTTGTGAGTTTGTAAAAACATGGCATCCTTTATATATGTCATGGCTGTTTAAATTTGCCTATCTGTGTGCCTCTCGGTGCAAGTCTGGAGCCCCCCCCCCATCTCCGCCCCCACAGGGAGACCCTCAGAATCCTGTCTCAATTACTTCAGCTTGGAGGTGAGAAGGATAAACAGACTGTGTCCCAAGGGAGTTGTGGTGCTGCCTTGCCTCCCTTTCTAACCCCTCAGAATGCTGTTCTGAAAGATGCCCTATCTCTCTCCCATCCTTTCTAATTGGCTCACTGTTTTGTTTATTCTACTTATCACAAGTCAGATGGAAATTCCTGTTTTTACTGCGGATAATTGCTTTTTGGTGTGTACTGTCTTGGGCCCATTTGGCGGCTTACAGGCATTCGGGTTGGCTTTCCTGCTGTGTGGCTGGTTGCCCGCATGTGCCAGGCACAGCGCTGGGCACCTCCCTTGTCTGGTTTGTCTTTGCCTGTGCATAGAGTGCCAGAAACAGCCAGACACCTGGAGGAGTGGCTCTGACAGGGCCTGCCCCCCTTTCTCTGGAAGGTGCGTGACACCTGCTGTCACCAGGGAGAGGCATACCCAGCTTCCCTGGAAATGCACCGTGGGGATGAGACCTGTGGAGAAGGGTGGGGGTGACAGCATGACGTCTGGGGTCCTGAGGGTATTCTGCACTGGGGCTGGGACTTAGCCCTACAACCAGAGCCTAGGGGGCCTTTTGGGAATTGGGGTGGGGTGGTGGTGTGGGAGCAAAAGGGCGGGATGGGCATGGGGTGGGGCTTTTCTAAGAGGCAGTGGTTCCATGGCCCTGTGCACCTAGAGGTGGTGTCAGTTGGAGCCGCCGTGCTGGCCATTGGTCCCGAGCAGCCGGCTCCAGGCATAGACCTTGCACGAGCTTGGGGTCAGTCACCTGCGCTCTTCGCTGAACACTTGTTTCCCTAGCATCTCAACACAGCGACACGTTTGTCAACTGCCCTTGCGGCTCACTTGTCCCGGGCATGAGCTGTGCCTCTGTGTCCCTTACCACCCTCTCCCTGGTCCTTTCTCCTTGTTCCCGACCCCCACCCGCTCTTCTGGTCTGTGGCCTGTATTTTTCACACTCCCACAACTTCACTCACCTCAGACTCTCCTTAAAGATTTGGTATCTTTTTGAGAAAAATTATTCTAGCATACAGTCATGTAAGGTTATTTGTTTTAATGATTGAGCACACAATTATCAATAACTGTTTAAATAATGATCTCTTAGGAAAGCAGCTGCTAGTGCATCTACTTGAATTTGTGTTGGCGTCTACTTTGATTTGGACTGGCCTGCTGTTTTTCAGGAGCGTGCCTGTCGCTCCCCGTGGAGGTTGCTGGGTCCCTGCAGATGTGGGAAACCTCGTTCCTAAGATTTCCATGTCTTTTCTGTTTCAGGTGCCCTCTGCCGTCTGCCATGCTTTCCAGGTAGGAGATGCAGGTTGTCCTGGCAGGTGCGTCTGTGCAGCTGGGAAGCAGAAGCCTCGTGTGAAGATGGAGAGATAAGACGTGGTCCGGCAGGCCTGTGCGACAGAGAGCCGTGCCCGCCCCGGCCAGGGAGCCCTGGTCCTGGAGATGGATCGCACCCGGGAGGCCGAGGTGGAGCTGAGAAGGGGCCCGAGCCCCACCAGGGCAAGCAGGAGCCCCGAGGTGGATGGAGACAAGGCCATGAGCCACAGCTGCTGCATCTGTGGCAAGAGCTTTCCCTTCCAGAGCTCCCTGTCCCAGCACATGCGCAAGCACACGGGGGAGAAGCCCTACAAATGTCCCTACTGCGACCACAGGGCTTCCCAGAAGGGCAACCTGAAGATCCACATTCGCAGCCACCGCACCGGCACTCTGATCCAGGGCCACGAGCCAGAGGCTGGTGAGATGCGCGTGTCCGAGGGCCTGGACGGCTGCACCAGCCCCACCAAGAGCACTTCCGCCTGCAACAGGATCCTCAACGGGGCCACCCAGGTGGACAACGGCAAGATCCTGCTGAGGAGCAGCAAGAAGGAGGCCGAGGGGGCTGCCTGCGCCTCAGAGGAGGGCAAGGCCACAGCCCAGTGTTCCTTCTGCAAGTGCAAGTTTGAGCGCAAGAAGGACCTGGAGCAGCATGTGCACCAGGCCCACAAGCCGTTCCGGTGCAGGCTGTGCAGCTACATGACGCTGAGGGAGGAGTCCCTGCTGAGCCACATCGAGAAGGACCACATCACTGCGCAGGTGCCCAGCGGGGCCGAGGCGTACGTGGAGAACGGCAAGCCCGAGCTGACCCCCGGGGAGTTTCCCTGCGAGGTCTGCGGCCAGGCCTTCAGCCAGACCTGGTTCCTGAAGGCTCACATGAAGAAGCACAGAGGTTCCTTCGACCACGGCTGCCACATCTGTGGCCGAAGATTCAAAGAGCCGTGGTTCCTCAAAAACCACATGAAGGCACACGGCCCCAAGACTGGGAGCAAGAACAAGCCCAAGAGCGAGCTGGACCCCATCGCCACCATCAACAACGTGGTGCAAGAGGAGATGATCGTGGCTGGCCTGTCCCTCTACGAAGTCTGCACCAAGTGTGGGAACCTGTTTACAAACCTGGACAGCTTGAACGCGCACAACGCCATCCACCGCAGGGTGGAAGCCGGCCGGACACGGGCCCCGGCCGGGGAGGGCGCGGTGCAGGGCAGCCCCCCGGACTCCCAGCAGCTCTTCCTCCAGTGCCTCAACCTGCAGCCTGCGGTGGCCAGCGCGCCTGCCCATGGGCCGGCGGGGCGGCGTGTGGCCGAGCTGGACCCGGTCAACAGCTACCAGGCCTGGCAGCTGGCCACGCGGGGCAAGGTGGCCGAGCCAGCTGAGTACCTCAAGTACGGGGCGTGGGACGAGGCACTGGCCGGGGACGTGGCCTTCGACAAGGAGCGGCGCGAGTACATCCTGGTGAGCCAGGAGAAGCGCAAGCGTGAGCCGGAGCCCGGCGCTCAGGGGCCCCCGCGCAAGCGGGCGGGTACGCCCGGGGACCCCATGCCTGGGCCCCTGGACCCCAGGCCAGCTGCAAGGCCCAGCCGCCGTGCTGCCGCCCCTGCTGGCCATGGCAAGTCCTCTGAGTGCTTCGAGTGCGGCAAGATCTTCCGCACCTACCACCAGATGGTGCTGCACTCCCGGGTGCACCGCCGTGCGCGCCGAGACCGTGATGGCCCCGGGGATCGCGGGCCCCGTGCGCGCTGTGGCTCGCTCAGCGAGGGTGACTCTGCCTCGCAGCCCAGCAGCCCGGGCTCGGCCTGTGGTGCCGTCGCTGACTCCCCAGGCTCGGGCCTGGCAGACGAGGCTGCGGAGGAGAGCGGAGAGGACAGTGCAGCTGACCCTGCACCAGGTGAGCGTGCGCCTGGGCAGCTGGGCTCGGAGAGTGAGGGCCAGAGGGCTCTGTACCTGGGTGACCCGCGCCCAGGTAGTCCCGGCTCCGTAGCCCTGCACCCAGCTGGTCCCCTGTCTGGATATCCCAGAGCCCAGGTATCCGGGTAACGCAAGTCCGGGTAGCTCTGTGCCCGTGAGGCCTTCCTGAAGTATCCCTGAGCCCAGGGAGGTCCCGTGCCCAGGTAACACATGCCTAGATAGTCCAGGCTCAGGTGGCCCTCTGACCCGGTAGCCCTCAGCCCAGGAGGTCCAGGCCCAGGTAGTCACGGCTCAGCCCTGCGCCCTAGGGGCCTGGTTTCCAGACCCGGGCAGTCCCTGGCCCACGTAGCCTTGGCACCCAGGTGGCCCTCTGCCTGGATAGCCCTTGCCTGCGTATCCCTGGCCGAGGTAGACCCTGCATCCAGGTAACCCTGTGCCTGGATAGCTCTTGCCTGGGTATTCCTGGCCCAGGTAGCCCTACCCCCAGGTATTAGGTAGCCAGTATATACTTAGAGCTCAGGCCGGTGGGTGCAGACACAGGTGCCTGTCAGCTCTGCTTCAGGCTCCTTTCTTGCTAATTTGCCCAGATGTGTTTGTATTAACTAACACCTTTGGCCTGTTGAATTCACAGTTTCTCTGGGGCATCAGTCATTTCTGAGCAAAGGACAGGTGATGGGACACCTCCAAGGCGTGCCCTTCTCTTTCTCCACAGGCCCAGAGCCTGCTCCGTCACCAGGCGGCAAATGCACGCTTGTACATGCACACTTGCCTCTGCTTACCTCCCTTGTACCAGACAGCCGAGTAAAAGAGTAACTTCCAGTTGGTGTGCAGTTATAATTAATCTCCTCAGATTCAAATACCCTGTGGGTTTAGAGACGGCTCATTGGAACAGATGACTCTCCAAAGAGCAGCTATGTAAATATTTAAAGATGCTTGGCTAACTTTGTTTTCATTATTTTCCTACTTTTTATAAGTCTTAAGCATTTTGATATTTTATTCATTATTTTTTGTTTTGGGTAATTCTTTTTAGTAGAAGGTGATGTTCCAGTGACGGAACTTGTAACTTTTTCCGCATCACCGGGACTGTTTTTCTTTTCTCCCTGGAAACTGGTTCGTGGCTGTTGCTTTTACCTGAAAGGCCAGGGGTGTAGAAACCCAAGAGCTTCGGCAGGGCTATTTATAATCTGTAGTAAGGAAAACGACCCTAGTGCAGTCCTCCAAAGCAAAACACAGATCTGTGTCCTTTTTTCTTTATGAGGGGTTTAGCCAATTCTTTGAAACAAATGATACTGAGTCAGTAAGAGTGTGGAAGAAATTTGTTTCTCTAATCCTGTGTTGACCCCGCGCATACACCTTGTAAGGGTCCGTATAGATAGATGAGCAGTGACACATTATGCACTGACCCTTGTTGTTTCCCCTTTCATTTCTTACTCATTAACCTGTGGGAAGGAGCAGGAGAACATGCGACTCTGAATACACTGCTCCTTCTCTGAGCTCAAGATTCCTGTAACAGTTTATCGTCGTAAAACCTGGCAAACCCAACTGAGACCTTTGGTTGGCATTTTTGAAGATTAATTCTTGGTTTTTCTCTTTAAAAAGTTTTGATAATTATAGATTTTACTGATCATATTCCAATAATACTGTTTTTGGAGCTCATTGGATAAAATGTTAGGTTAGAACTAAATCTTTTTTTCGAAGACAAATATTTTTAACATTTGGAAAAGCTCTTGAGCCTTTCCCTCATCTATGGTGATGGTGGTCAAATGATAATTAATTCAATAGTACTTTGAAAATGTTGGAAAGATCAAATAATTTTCACTATACATTGGAATTTACTTTTTTTCATCTCAAATTCATTAAATTTGAGATTATCATTTACCTCCTAATGAAGGTATTTTGTATATGTGTTTTCTATATGTGATGTTTTTTTGGGAAACTTGATACATCAGATGTTTCTGTAACAAGTTCATGTATCCTGGTTGAGTTCAACAAGTTGACAGTAGAATCAAGAGAATATTGTAGCTCACTGAGAGACCAGAAAAGGAAATTTATGTCATGACGGTGGCATAAAGTGTTGAAGAACACTGTGGGTCTGCATGGGTAGCTTTTGTGACTCTGTAGGGCAGAATCTTTCCTTCTGAAACTACAGACCTCGCAAGCTCAGCAGGCCTTTAATGGTCTAGGGTGGCAGTAAACCACTGCTTCATAGATGTTCTTTAAGGAGTGAGATGTACATTATATGCATGTAATACTCACAGACACTCCCATTTGCAGGGTTTGGCTAAGGACTTTGGAAAAGCAAATGAGTACTTTGAATCCTCTGTTTCAGTCTGCAGCGTGCCTTTACTGTTACTAAAAGATGAATTACGTCTTTACACATATAGGCAACTTAAAATTCTTACAGAACTCTGATGGGATGGCTGGCTAAAATTGTTAGAGGAAATATGTGGAGATTGAGAACAAAGCACCACAGTAGGTCCCATAAGAATGAATCTGGCTTCTGGTGGAAGCAAAGTTGACATTAGAATTCTGTCTTTGTGACCCTGCTTAGCAAGTCCCCATTGTGCCATAATTTTACCCCAAGATTTTTTGACATGTAGGAATGGATTTGAATGCTGCTTTTGGCTGTAGAGAAAGTTTGCATTATCAGATTAAAAGAAACTTTTTTTTTTCATGAAACATTCTTTGTTGAGTATTGCCATGTGCTTGTTTAGAAAGCTCTGTTACATTCCCTTTATTTCCACGGAAAACTGGGCCTCAGCAGCCCTCCTTACTGACCAAAAATGGGAGAAGAGCAAACTTGTGAATAAAAGTCAATGAAATATAAAATACGTTACTGAGCTAGATTTCAGCCCTCCACTGAGAAGGTGACATAGCCCTGATAGAGAAAAATACACTTTTGGAGCTCACGAAGAAATGAAACCTTTTAATTAGGGAAGAGAGGAGCATTGAAAGGGCATGTAATTCAAGTTTACAAAAACGAGCATTTCCAAGCACAAAGCAAAGTCAGGGTGCTTCCAGGTCATCATGAGGACAAGGGAGTGTTATTTCACAATAAGCTGAAGCAGGATTCTGCTCAGAAAGCTTGTAGGTGATTTAGGAATGAGGGACCCCCGGTGAGCATGTCTTGAAGAGGTTGGTTCACAACCTGTGTGATTGTGAGAAGCACCTTTGGGTGGCCTACCTTTTCTCGGGCCATGAGAGGTGTGTCCACCTGCCCTCAGGCAAAACGCCAAAGACCCCATTCCCTCCATTTATCTGCATATCGTTTCTGCAAAGACTTACGTGACTACCTAGGTTTTGACCGCTTCTTGTTATTCTCAACACTACTATCATATTAAATCCGTGTTCTGTCAAGCCTGCCTCTCAGTACATCTTTGCCTATTCAGCGTAACTTAACTGATGGTAAAATCACAAGTTTTAGTTGAAGTCCTGTGAAATTGCAAATATTTGTTTCTGACCCACAAAGATGTTAGACTCTGCTCCACCGGATAGAGGAACAGGTTCTTAGAACAAGTGCCACAATATTACATGCAGTTTGGAGAATCAAGGAGAGAGTTTCCAGAACTGAACAATATCATCAGGGAATGGAAAGGCAATTGAAGGAAGAAACGGATTTCCTTCAGAAACATCGTTTTCCCTGCTTGTCGCCCCCTCCAGGGCGATAGCCTTGTACATCGCGGCTCATCTTGTTTCCATCCTAGTTGAAGGAAGGTCCCCCATCTCTTCACCAAGAAATGGTAGCTGAGCATGCGCCTTGAGACAGAGTGGCGGTCAGCGGCAGTGCCAGGGTGGGTGAGGAGTGCCCACCGTGGTCGGGCAGCTGGTGCAAAGCTCCAACAGCCCTTCTGCTTTCTGTTTCTTAGCGCACGGACAGTCATTTGGACGGCTCGGGAAGAACATGTTCTCAGACGTCTGCCCGCTGTAACAGGATTTCGGGTGAACCTAGCTAACAGAGGTCAATGTGGAACATGGGGTGTGCTGGGGAGGGGCATCTGTCCCAGGCTGGGCCTGCTGAGACAGGAGGCTTTTATTATCACTTCTCTTAGAGTTCGCTTCAGTGTAGATCCGGAGGGGCGCATCCAGAGCGCCGTGTCCTTGTTGTGCTTCTGGCCAGATCCGCTCGAGATGCTGCAGCCCCCGTGTTTCTGGTGGCACACAGATGGAGTGAGCGGGGGGGCCTGCAGCATTGGCCCCGGCCAGAGGCTAAGCATGAGCCAGCACATCAGGGGGGTGTGGATAAGGGCAGGGAGAAAGCGGGGTGGGGGACAGGAGCCCCAAGTGCAGATGGGAGATGCAGACATTTGGGTTTGCCTGGGGGAAGGAGAGCAAGCACATCTGGGGACAGTTCCATCCAAGCACCAAAGCCTTGCTGGACGGAGCTACGGCAGGTGGTCCTTCTAAGGGGGGCCCTGGGTGGTCGGGGGCCCTCTGTCACAGATGAGCTTGTGGAACTGATAACAGGAAACCCCAGGACCAGTTCTTGAGTCACCGGGCAGTTCGCTCAGGCTTGCTTTGTCCAGTTTCTCTGTCGCTCTGGCAACCTGGAGGTCACTGCCAGCAATATCTAATAAACGTCCACACACAGACTGATGCCCGTTCAGGAGGGGCCCCAGGGGCACACCCCGATGTTGGTGTCAGGTGCCAGGCCATACGCGCAAGATGCTCTCCGCCGTGTGGCCGGTGCCAGGCCCTGTTTCCACCAGTGCCAGATAATTCCCATCACCTTAGAGCCGGAGATTATGGAAGAGCAGGTCTGTTCCAGGTTCTGGAAGAGAGCCCTAGAATGCCCAGCAGATCCAGCACCACGGGAGTGGAGACCGTTCTGAATACTGGGGAATCTCAGAGTTGGAAACCCTCCTATTAATGTCTTACTTAGTATGAAAACACAGTGAAGGTCTTTAAGAAAGCTGTTCAGATGTACTTGGCAGTCGAAAGCCGAACGCCCTCTGGTTTTAGCCTGCGTCGTAGGAACCAGAA